GCTCGGTGGCTGTGGGGGAGCCGCGGTGGTGCGAGGCGGGCCGGGCCGGAGCGCCGCGGTAACGTGCGCTGCGCTCTCCCCGCAGCTGTGGACATCCAGCCCGCCTGCCTCGGGCTGTACTGCGGCAGGACTGTCCTGTCGGTCAACGGCTCCGTGGAGACCTACGGGGACTGCGGGGTAAGTGCGGCGCGGGAGAGGCTGGGCCTGAGCAGGGGGGATGGCCTCTCTCCCCCCGAGCCCGGCGTCGGCAGCGCTGCCCGGACCGCACCGGAGGCTGATGCGGATCCAGCTGTAGGCAGCACCGCGGCCCGCAGCCCGGCCTCGAGGTGCTTTGAGGATCAGGGGGAGAGGGGGGCTGCAGAGGGCGGACGGAGCTCCCTGTCTGGAAGCAGGAGCTGGTTGATGAAACCTGCCCGAAGGAGGTGCTGAAGGCTCGGCGCTAAGCCGGAGCTGAGCGGAAGGGCTGCGAAAGCTGGAACAGAAGTGGATGGTGCTGAGAACTGTGCTGAAATCGCTCTGCTCGCTGATTTTATTGGAGTACTAAAGGAGAACAAGATCCAGGGAGGGTGGAATGAACAGGGAGCAAGAAACTGGGGGACAGAGATATGAGTGGTCTGGTGAGTGAGCTTAGCAATGAAAGAGACACGATGGTGTGACAGCGGGAGAGGAAAAGGGAGCCTTGGTTGAAGCCTTTTAAATCTGCTTCACCTTTTTTTATATTAAGAAGAAAGACCCAGAGAGAGCAAGGCCCGTGTAAGCTGAGAAATTGCTGAGGTTAGTGTTTCATCACTTTAAAAACCACATACATTTCTTGCCACTACTTCAAGCAGGATCTGTAGTGATTCATTCTGAATACTACTTCAAGCAGGAACTGTAGTGATTCGTTATAGTACTCAGATGCCTTGTAGATACAGTCTCTACATTTTTGTAGGTATGCCCTAGAGGTCAAAGAACTGATGACAACAAAATCTGCCGAGAATGTACGGGATCTCCAGACCGCTATGACTGGCTGTACCTTGGCTTCATGGCCATGCTTCCCCTGGTTTTACACTGGTTCTTTATTGAATGGTATTCAGGAAAAAAGAGGTTCGTATGCCCCTTCTTCAGATAAGTTATTTAAAAATGGAAGTCTCATATCCATGAGTGATCAATCTGAGATGCTGAATTGAACAGTCCAGCAGTTCATGCTGTTGGTTGAGCTGATACAGTTGCACATAAGCTCTGGGCAGGGGGAGCGGGGTGTTATTTACACATACAAGAGTCTTGCAGGTTCTTGCCGGTTGCTGCCCTTAGGACATGGTCTGTATCTCCTTAATGTGGTGGTGCCCAGTCCATCTGGCAATTGGGGCTGGATTGGGTTCTCCAGTAGCGGGCAGGAGTGTGTCATTCCCTCTCTCCCAGGGCAGACCTATCAGCTGCAGAGGCCCTGATGAGTGAGAGAATGGGTTTGAGTTTTCTCTTTAGGAATATATATAGTGGGGTTTGGTCCTGATAGCATAGCTGATGTAACCTTTATGTCAACACGGTGCATGAAGGAAGTTCTGTAAAAAAGGGGTTTAAAACTACAGCTCATGTAGCCATTAGGTGCGAGAGTGAAAGTTTTAAGAAGTAATGACTTGAGTGTACTAAACACTGAAAACATAGGGGACTGAGGAAGTTTAGTATATTAATATATACTGTCTTTAACAAGCGCAGCTTTGAAAATTTTGCTTATATTGTATGTAAGTGTGGTGTCTAATCCTCACTGACACTTTCTTTGAAGCTGCAGCTGCTTGAGTGGTGTTGTCCCTCACCTGACAGGATGCTTATGCTACAGCAGGCTTTCGTTTAAGAAGCTGGAATGTTGTTCAGTCACATCTTACACATTAAATCATCTGAGGTTGTAAATGACTTTTCACATTCAGCTTCAGATACATTTTGTTTGAGCAGCATTGTCCTGTCCTTGGTCATGTGGAACTCAGTAGAAGATTCTGTACTGCAGTGGGCCTCCACTTCCCAGTTGGCGTTTAAATTTTCTTTAGTGTTTGCAAAATAGTAAATCTCTCTCTCTCTCTCTCTCTCCTTCCGCAGTTCCAGCGCATTATTGCAGCATGTCACTGCCTTGTTTGAGTGCAGCGTCGCAGCAATCGTCACGCTGCTCGTCAGCGACCCCGTTGGCTCTCTGCACATCCGCTCCTGCAGGGTGAAGAAGCTTTCGGACTGGTACACGATGCTTTACAACCCAAGTCCTGACTACATCACCACGGTGCACTGCACTCATGAAGCAGTCTATCCCCTGTGAGTGTAAGGGCTTTTGTACTCCTGTCTGTCCCTTCCTTCTATACAAACATGTTTCTGTCCACACCTCAGAGCTGCAAAACATGTTCAGATGTGACTCGGACCAGTGAGTATCAATCCTTGATGTCTTCCATGCATTGAGCTGGTTTGTGTGTGAAGCACTTAGCAACACCTGGTAACTTTCTGAGTCGCCTATGAAGCATAGACTTCATTTTTTTTTCCCCTTTGCTGCATCTTGACTGTTTCCCCTAGGAAAAATGAGCCCATTGTTCTGTGTTTACATTCTTTCTTTGTAAATTCTTTAGACTTGACTGACTCTAACCCCAGATTCCCTGTCTCCAAGTTGAGTCTGCAGGAGAAAAAGAACTGCGCGTTTTAAGGAATTTCTCTTTTTTTTCAGGTACACCATTGTGTTTATATATTACGCCTTCTGTCTTGTGTTAATGATGTTACTTCGGCCTCTTCTGGTTAAGAAGATTGCCTGTGGTTTAGGAAAGTCTGATCGATTTAAAAGCATTTATGCAGCACTGTACTTCTTCCCTATCCTCACCGTGCTCCAAGCTGTTGGAGGGGGCCTGCTCTGTGAGTTCTCTCCTAATAAAGATACCTATAAACACACACTAACAAGTGACTTGTGTCTCTTCCCTCCTTCCCATGACATGCTTTTTGCTTTGAGAATAAGGATGTTGTTTAAGGTGGTTGTGAGGAGTCTTACCTGAAGAGGTTGCTCATTAGCCCTTTTCTAACCAGGCTGCAGACCAACACTGCCCTGCTCCTGCTGGTGCTGCTGGAGACTGTCCCTTTCCCAGAAATGGAATAGAGGGGGTATAAGAGGAAATTACTTTACAGGGAGTTAGTTCCACTTTCTGCTAAGGTAGAGTTTGTCTGATTTTAGACATGGATTAAAGTATAAGTTTGGGGAGATCAGCTATTTTTGGTTTAGCTTCCAGCATACTTGTCACATGAAGGGGACAAGGGCCACAAAATCCCCACTTGGCTTGACTACTTTTTTCATTATCTACCTTTTCCAATTAGTGATTTAAGTGTACAGTAACTCCACCTAGAAATATTAGAGAAAGTTTGCAAGCCTAAGACAGAGGTGTTGACTTAGTTATGCTGGCTGATCCTTACTGCTGTGCATTTTTGATGTGATGATAAGGGGTGAGCTATAGCAGCTTGGTTTACTTCACACCTATGCTTATATGTAGAAAAGCTCTCTCTGCTGAAGTGTATATCCTGCGTTTTTTCCTGCTAATATGTCCCATGTTTGCCTTTAGATTATGCCTTCCCATACATCATCCTGGTGTTGTCTTTGGTTACGCTGGCTGTGTACATGTCTGCTTCTGAAGTGGAGGTAGGTAAACACCTTTCTTGTGTTAAAACTCATAAAATACTTGAATGAGCGGAGACCACTTTGTCTCTTGCCCCTTCTCAGCGGTGTATTCTGTGTGTAAGCCTTTTCCTGTATGACTGCTCCTCTTTGCTGGTGGAAGCTCTTGTGAGACTTCCCTCTTGTGTGCATGGAGAAACTGTGTTACATGCTGGAGGGGCTCGACCCCAGGAGGCTTTGTACAGTCTGTGTGCTGCCCATAACATCTCTTAGACCCCAGGTACTAGGTAACAGGCTGAATGCTAACAGGATACTGTGTTTGTTTTTCAAGTCTTTCAAGGATCTTCTTGTCAGGAAGAAAAGGCTCGTCGTCCTCTTCAGCCACTGGTTACTTCATGCCTATGGAATCATCTCCATTTCCAAACTGGATAAGCTCGAGCAGGACCTGCCTTTGCTTGCCTTGGTACCGGCACCTGCCCTCTTCTACTTAGTGACAGCAAAGTACACCGAGCCGTCACGCATACTCTCAGAAGGTGGAAACGGACATTAAAAGGAGCCTGTGCCAACAACGCTGTCCTAAGGATCTGGATTAAGCAATTTTAGTGCTTGTTATGCTTCGGGAACTTCTATTTTAAAAGAAGTTATTTATGTATGAGACTTCTAGGTGAAACACCTCTGAGTGAGACTAATATTAAAAAGCTGTGCTTTATATTCTTCATAAATACCTGGTATAGATCAGAGGGAAAGGTCTTTGTGTCTACTTATCACTGTGAACCTGTATAAAAAGCTTGTGACAGCGTTTTGCTTGTATATTTATTTTCTAATACAGTATTTTAGGTGTTGTTTGAATAAAACAATAGAGCCTGTTTTTCAGTAGACTTTCAATAAAACACATAGAGCTTGAACATACCACAGAGTTCGTTTTTTTTCCTCACATATTCTATCTTCTGTCCCCCACCAGTGGAAGGAGGCTTTCATCCTCCTCCCGTCACAAAATAAAACACATTGAACATGATTCCTCATGCTGCTTTCATCTGACTGCCAGGTAGAAGGAGAGGAAACCTGTTGTAAAGTTCTCTATCCAGTACAGTTAATGTTCTGTGTACTTCAGGGTGGAGGCCTCTTCCCAGAGGTGACTGAACAGAAGTATTCTTCCTGGTAAACCCATGCTCTGGCTCTGTGGCAGCAGCTGTGCTCAGGCAGCAGTGGAGCTTAGCAGCCAAGAAAGTAGCAGCCTTTATGCAGTAGCACCACTGCAACAGTAGAGACTGCTGGAATGACAAGTACAAAACCGGTGCAGATGTAATAAAAAGACTTGAAGATTCCTTATCTTCTTAAAAA